ATTCAGAACAATAGAAAGTCAAGAATATATGGAAAAAACAATCTCATTAATATGACAAAAGTATTGAAATGAAACAAAAGTGATTGGCCTCGTGGTTACAGATAAAATAATGTGATATTTTTAAAAAATTCCCGCGCCGGTAAAATAATTTTTGTTTGTCTATCAAACAGTGAGGAAAGTGAAAGATAATTACAAAAATTGATCCTTTTCAAGATTGTTCCTTGTTTTTATGACGTTTCTGTGTTCATTGGTTATATCATAATAATATAACATAATTATCCATCGCTTTGTTCTTCAATTCTTTTATTAAATTTCGTCTTGATAACGTTCCGGTGCGCCGACGCGATTTGGCGTTTCTATCTCAGGGAAAGGATTTTTCATGTAAAAAATTTCACCGATAGATGCCCTTCCTGTTAGTTAACTGAACGAACATATTGTGCGTGTAGTCGGTGTGACATGGCTGCTACTACTAATACAGAAGATATTGAGGTATTATTTTCAAATATATTTTGTGATTAAAAAATATTTAAAAAAATTAATGGAACATTCCGTGTGAATACAATCTCGCCACAAGTGTTGCAAAAAATCTTGTACAGCTCTTCGAAACAACGTGGTAGTTCCTCATCTACCCTTTACCCCTCCCATCTATACCCATGCATGGTGAAAACTGTCTAACGAGCTTAAAAAAAAGAGACATATTATATTACTCGGATAAATTTTCTAATATATATTACACTTATTATTAAAGATATGGTACTAAACCCAATAAAAAGTATTTTATAAATATTATTGACATGAAATTGTTTTAAGAAATTAGAAAGTGACATACATATTCATATGTGTGTGCATATCAATAGATAGAGGTTAAAAAACCTATTTAGAAGATTCTGTGTATAATTATTTTCTAGGAAGTGGAACGGAAGGAACAAGAAGTTACGAATTTCGATGAGTTTCCACCTGAAGTTCTAATCAAACATCCATTGCAACATACATGGACACTATGGTATTATGAACAGGACAAGAACAAATCATGGGAGGAGAGTCAGAGAAAAATTACAAGTTTTGATACAGCTGAAGATTTTTGGAGGTACTATAAATACAGATCAATATTTGTTATTAAAATTTGTAATATTACAATATTGTATTTTATTTTCAGTTTATACAATCACATAAAAGCTGCATCAGAATTAAGACAAGGATGTGACTATAGTTTATTCAAGCAAGGGATCAGACCTATGTGGGAAGACGATGCTAATAAAGCTGGTGGAAGGTGGCTTATAAACTTAGATAAAAAGCAGAGATCTTCAGATTTAGACCACTTTTGGTTAGAAACACTTTTATGTATGATTGGTGAGGCCTTTAATGGATACTCTGACGATGTTTGTGGAGCAGTAGTAAACATAAGGACAAAAGGAGATAAAATCGGTGTATGGACAGCAAATGCCAATAGCGAAGACAGCGTCCTGGAAATTGGGTAAGCTAGACCAAATATATGTAAAAAAAATTATCTACTAATTGATTAATTATATTTCTATTGTAGGCGCAAATTGAGAGAGAGATTAAAAATCACATCAAAAGTATCTATAGGATATCAAATACATAAAGATATTATGGTCAAAGTAGGAAGTCAAACAAAAAATGCCTATATTATCTAAATACTATTGATGTTATATTAATATCACATTAATATCCATTATTCATTAAAAAGTGTCAAGCTGGGCTGAAAATACATTAATCATACAGACATACAAAATTTAAACGGATTATCACTGGAGACATTTAAATGAAAATTCAGTGTACAATTTCTAAGAAACTACATTTTCATTGTAGCTAGATATTTTCTTAATGAAATTAAAAAAACGAACACCAATAAATATGCGCTAACCAGATGTATATTGTACTAAAATTTACCGTGATGTCATATGTAATTTAGGATTAGATTATGAAAGATACGCACGGGCTGCTGTATTTTTCAAGGAATATAAATTATATGATTATATGAAATAATTAACATATATG